TCGTGGCCGACGCGTCCGCGGCCTCCCCGCGAGCTCTCCACTCCCACCTCCGAGCTCTCGTCGGCGAGCTGTCCCTTGATATTCAGCTAAGCGGCTTTCTGAAGTGAAGGCCTCGGTGAGGTGCCGCAGCCACGGGGGATCGCTGCCCTCGGTCCGAGCTTGCTGCCCGCCACCCGTTTCTCAACGCGCGTCGCTGTCGGCTCACATCTCCCAAAGACGTGTTTACAGCACGCTACCCCAGCCTGGTTCTGTCAGAAACGATCCGCGTGAGCTTTTAATAGCAGTTGGTTTGTTAAACCTGGGATATTTTGACAGCTCTGTGGCAGAAGAGGCGAGTAACAAGCAGGCAGGAGCCGCAAGCGCTTCAGCTGCGCCCCTGCCCACGGCGGGGGCCCCCCGCCCCCCCACCCCACCCCCCCCACGAGGCGTTGGCGCCTCGCCTGGCCGCAGCTCCAGGCCCGCCTGCGAGCTCTGCTCTGCGCGCTCCGGTCGGCCTCCGCGGGCCGGGGATGACGCGCGGCCCCGTTCAAGCCTGTTCTTGGCTCCCACGCCTCCATCATTCGCTGTGGTGACCACGTGCGCGGTGCTCATCGCCGCCGCACAGCCAGCCAGGACCCTTCCCCACGCCCATCTCTAACCATCTCATAGAAAGAGAAAAAAAACAAACCCTAATATGAAAAGCCCACCCTAGTCCCTGCTCGCTGCCCCAGACGGCATCATCACGGCATGAAACACGAGAGGGAAAGCTACTGCAGCTCAGCGTGGCGCCGTCTGCCCCGTCGGCAGCAGGAAGGAAACACGAGGGCAACAGCGGCTCTTAACCACCAGCGCAAAGGCTTCGGCAGCCTCGGGAAAACGCTACAGCCGGTGACTGCGATACGGTCCTCGGTCCTCCTTCGAGCCCTCTCCCCTTGACGACGCGGCGTGTCTCCCACACAGCGCCTGCAAGGCTCTTCATTGACTAGTTCCTCTCCAAAAACCAAGCTGCTCTAAGAGCGACCAGCCACCTTGCCCCCGACCCTGCCGGCTGCACCCTCGCAGGCGAGTTTGGAGCCCAGCTGCTCGCTCTGGTTTGTGGTTCGCACAGCGGAGGCCGGGCCTGAAAGCATCACCACGGCGGTGCTGGCTACCCGAAGCCGGCAGCTCTGCAGCAGCTTCTTCTCACCTGCTCCATTTTTCAGCATCTCCAGTTGCCAGATAATGTCTTTCAGGCTGACATTTGGTTTTGAGAGCTGAGCAAAATCAGTGCTGCTATTTCAGTTATACCTGTGAAAGATGCCAGGGCAGGGAACAGCTTGCTAAATCAACAAGCCCATGCCCTCAGGCACCCAGGATTATTCTCTAAAGGACAGAGCAGGATTTCGCATTCAGTAGCTCCATCCGACAGGGCTCTACCCATCCCTTCCATCGGGAGGTCATGCCACAGCACAATACATCTTCCTGCAAAACAGCTAACTCGATATACAACTTCGTTTTCTCTTCCTTAATTTCATTCCACAGTGCCTACTACCATCCCCTTTGTTCCACTTCAGGAATGACGACATCCCCCCCCCCCCCCAAAACAAAAAAAAAAAAAAAAAAAAAAACACAAAAAGCAAAGAATAGCAGTTAAACACCCGCTCAGAGGTAACCTGGAGATAACCAGCACTAACCACACCCCCAGTTCTTCCACTTTCCTCGCACTAATTTCTCAACTTGTTAATCATTTTTATTTCTCTTCCTTCTCCACTTCCCACACTGAAACAAAAGATGACTCGTAAGCTAAAATAAGCACCTGGGACCTCCAAAAAGGCCACCCATTTGCTTACTTTGGCCTAGGGCATTTGGCAAGGAATTCTACCAGTCTGACATCTTGGTTGGATTCTGACCCTCCTTCCCCTTATACTGGTCTGATAGCTCAGAGGGACCAGAGCAGCAACAGAACCTGGCCAAACGCTATTTTTAGGACTTAAATTAATTGAGCATAAACCCATCAAGTTTAAATATTTGCGGCATCTGAACAATTCAGCTGCACAGGGCAAGCAACTGTTGTAGCGGGGATACGATCCCCTCTTCAGCCCTCCCCCTGCTCTTGCTAGCTAGTTGAGAGACTGCCCAGACCATGGCTGTTTTTCCACCAAGCAGCAGAGCGCCTTTATCACTTTTAGCTTAGCCAATACCGCATTAGGAAGAGGAACTGATAGTTAACACCTAAAACCTGCTACATGGGCTCAGCCAAAGGCAACACAGTTGCACCAAGAGATCTGCAGCCATAGACTTCCTACACAAGAGGGGGAGAGACAAGGCCTTGAGGTGCAAGCTCACCTCTTGCCCCCAAACAGCACAGTATTGATGTTGGCAGGCAGCGTAAGACTTACGCACAGGACCGCTGAAGCTGCCACACTAATACCCTCACCCAACACACTCCAAACGCATCCACTCACAAACGTTAGGGTGTGCACCTGCCTTCACAAGTGGAGTGTTGGCAAATATCTTTGCCACCAAAAGGTGTTTGTGTGTCCCACCCAAAATAAAAAAGCGCTTTTCATGAGACAGACAGTGAACGAGTTTCCTTCCTGCCAAACTGACCACCCTGCACGGATCCAAGGTCAGCAAGTGCAGAAAGCAAAACTGAGAAGCTGGGCCTCTAACAGAGGAGTTGGTCCCATCGCATCCCTGAGCCTGAACACCAAGCAGAAATACCCACACCGCATGCAGAGGCGTATAATGAAATATTCATCATCCACCCCAGCGTTCTGATGCGTCACCTACAGGTGGGCACGGTTTAAACTTAACCCAAAAGCTGAGTACCCCAAGCCTTACCCTGCGCGAGGTATCTGTCAGCACAAACACAGGCGACGCAAGTCAATCTGTCATCTCAGCCAGTGCTAACGGATACAATTTCACAGTACAGCTCTAGCTGGCTTCTCTGTTAGGGCTTTCCAAGAAGACTAGAACAGTTAAAAGTGAGAAACACAAGTTCAATAGAGCAGAGAGCTGGAAGCCAACTGTTAAAACTTTAAAGGGAAGAAAATACAAATAAAAAGCTCAGTCTCCAGGGCATTATCGCAATTCTGCTCTCCCAGAGTGAGGCTACAAATTCACACAAAACACACAGGCACAAAGCATGGCTCGGCACAGTGTTGCACAAACACTTGTAACACACCACCTTGACAGGAAACAGTCCACCACAGCAGTGCTCCATTTCCATACGGATCGAAAACATGCCCTAGTGGAAGGTGAGGACAAGTTAAGGTGTATGAGAGGCCTTCTTAGAGACAGAGACACAACTCAAGGGCCTGCAAGCCAAGATGAGGTCCGATCCTTCCACCCAGCTCCCTCTAACCAGAGGTCAAGGAACCTGGCTAAACCTCAGTCCGCGCATACCAAGCGCAAGCCATGTTCAACGCCCATCGCTGAAGAGGCAGTGATGCAGAAGGACATATGCAACCAGACAGCACCCTGGCCTCTCTCTCTCTCTCTCTCCCCCCATTTCAGCTAGCACATACTGCTTCTTGCAAAAGAGATGCTAGAAAAGAACAACAGGAACCTTCATTAGCAGAGATACAATTAAATTGGCCAGATTTCCTAAGCATCTTGAGCTCTCTATGCAACAGCAAGGGATCAGGTGGACCACGCTGATTTTGCTACCTGCCAGAACAGCAACCCCAAAGACTGCTTCAGGTCTCCCCTAAGAAATGAGGTACGTGCTACCTCTCTGGGGGGTCATTTCCCCTAGTTTGCTGCCATGGTTAAGACTGCTATCCCGACAGATAAGAGAGTACTGGCGCATGGTGATTGGGTTAGTGGAAATCAGGCAAATATGCTGTTAAATCTCAAAGCATTTAGGAAGAGGTGAGGCACGTGGATATCTATCACTTGTACATACCCCCAGCAACGGGAAAGCGTGTGGTCACCCAGTGCTTATAGCAGCAGACAGGGAAACCAGGCAACCAAAGTTTTCTTCCCAGCTCTGCTACTGATTTGCTTTACAGTCTTGGGAAAGGCAGCTCAATGCTGCATGCCCCATTCTAGGGGACACACAGACCTGAACTGCTCAGCAATGCTCAGAGAAGACTTCTCATAAAAAAATGTTAGTATGTTGGAACTGAAGTGTTCTTCCTGTATTTCACTCATAAAAATCACAGGGAGAATTCCAGTGGCTGTTGTAGGAACAAAACCCCAATTATCTCTTTTGGAAAACTAACAAAGGCTGATTTCAAGGGTCCTTTCCAAAGGGCTGAGAAGCCCTCCAGGCCTGCTAGAAGTGCTGCTAGGAGCCTTCTCACCAGAGCTCAACTCAGCTATTTCCAAGTCATTACCCAAGTCCTGGCTCCCCAGAACCTATTGGTTTTCCCTAGCACTTTGCTGAAACTAATGGGGATTCACTTTTAGACTTTTTTTTTTTTTTTTTTTAAATCCTTCAGTTCCTTAAGCAAAAGCAAAGCATTTTGATCCACTTGGAAATGGTGCAATTAAAAACCAACTTCCAAACAATCTGAGGCTTTCTCTTCTATGGAAAGCATTAAGCAAGGCAATGATTTTCAGCATTTTGCATGGGAAAAAACCTCATACATCCACACAGCTCTAACTCCATCCTCCAAACAGGGAAGCTGCAAGGATTTACACTGACATGTAAATCCCTGTGACAGACTTTATAATACCATTAAAACGGGCACACCCGGAAGGGGAAGAAATGTTTCACACTGTGCAAGCAGCAAGCGTGAAAAGGAAAGAGATAAAAGAGTCTCCCTTTTCTCCAACCTTGGTCATAATTCCTGCCCTGTTACCCTGCCATTTGTGTGCCCACTTTTGATGTTAGTCTAGACAGCGCTGGCGTGAGGGCTTTCAGCATCCCAGCTCCATGGCTGTACTGGAGATGGCAAAGTTCTAGAGACCAACACCATGTTATGGATAGTCTAGCCTGTATGGTTGTCAGCACAGATGCCTTTGCACCAAAGACCTGCATGGACCTCATGAACAGCCAAACAATAAGGAACTGTCAGATGCAAGTACCCTACCTTCCTCTAAGTCATTCCTCAGAGAGGCCTCCAGCAGGGCAACACTGGCTTCAAAAGATACTGTCTTTCTGTTAATAGCACTTCTCTTCTTCTCATGCTTCCGCTTCTTGTGCTGCATCTCTTTCTCGTACTGTGCCCACTTCTTCAGCTGCTGAGCCCTCCGTTTCTGTGCTGCCCGCAGCCTCTCCAAGGTGGGCACCTTATCCAGCAGCTGAAGCTCTGTCAGGAGATCCACGTGGGCATCCATCGCTTCAGCTGAGAGAGGGGAGATGAAGGACACCCCAGCTAGAAATGATGTCCTACAGCAGGCCCTCTGGATTGCAGCTGTCTGCTGCTATACCAGCATCTTGGGGCCAAGCTGCGAATGGTCCATTGCAGCGTCTGGTGAGAATATGGTGGAGCCCTGCAATGAGAAGCGAAGCGTGAGGGACCAAGTCTCATCCTCCCATGCACACAAGCAGCTAAGATCAGCCCACTGCAAAACTCAACAGGCAACAATAACCATCTCAAGAGAAGGTTCATTTGATTACACTTTAATTGCTTTGTTCTTCTCACTGGTCTTTGTGATTCCACCCCCAACCTATTCCAAACACCCACTCCTCCAAGTGAAACTCTCTAGATTAAGTCATAGTTTTAGCATGCAGTTCATTCACAGCTACGGTTCAAGGTAGAGCTCTCATTTATCTCGAATCTATCTCATCTATCTCAAACAGAGATCTACATAGTATTTGACATCGTTCCACAGATCGCTTTAGAGAGATCCATGCACTGAGACATAAATCCTACCCTTCAGCTGGCCACTTCCAGCATAACTATTGCTCCCTCTTACAGGGGTCCCCAACACCTAACCAGAGCAGCACTGCATGACTGTACACTGAGAATCCCCTCCGTGAAACATTTCAGTCCAAACAGCAAAGGCCAAGGCAGAGGAGAAGATCAAGGTACAAGGCACAGCAGTGGCTCAGCCAGGAGAAGAACCACAAGCAGCAAGTCAGCCCAGTGCCATAGACACCAGGCAAGGCTGTCCCAGCTAAATAAGTCAGAAGCTGGAGGGTTGTGAGGTTACCCAGCCCATGCCTGAGGCCCATGCTGAGTTGTTATTGCTCACTGGCAAAGATCCCCAGATAAGCTTACAGGAGCATCAACTGCTCTCAGCTGCTTCATGCATCAGCCCCTTCTTACTGCAAGTCAAGCTGAGGGCCACAGAGGCAGACTGATAAGATATGGCTCTTAGGGAGGCATTATTAACACTTTAACCACCTCAGCTACTTAAGGACATCGGGCTTCGTGTTCATTTCTCTTCTCCTCCCAGATTTTTCTCTTCACTACACATTTGCTCATTCTGGTCTGACTGTACAGTGCTGTAAGGGCTCCATTAGTGCAGCAACAAGCACAGCTTAAATCACAGGCCCAAACTCCCAGTGGGACCACCACATTAAAGCCCACTGAACAGCACTACCTACAGTCAGCTAGGAGACTTGCACACAGTCGCTTAATTATTTGCCCTCCATATTTGGGGAAAACTCCAACAGAAGAGAGGAATTTGAAATAACGTCAATGTGTCCTGCAAATTTAATGAGTCTGTTCCAAACATACCATCGTGTACCACATCAAATGGCAAGGTCACCACGCCTGTCAAATTAAGGTAAGTTACAAATAAACCCACAAAATAGGAGAGCTCTTATGGTTCAGCCAGCTTGGAGAAAGGGGGGGGGGGGGGGGGGGGGGGAAGGAAAATTGATGGAGATGAGAGAGAATGGGGAGCTTAACTATTTGCAAACATCTGAGAACCTGAAAAACCCAATGTGATAGCTAAAGCAGATGATTGAAGTCATTCCTTTCTTAACTCTCCCACCCCAAAAGAGAGAAAGTAAGTCTTGTAAGTGAAAGGATGCAAAGTGTCTATAGGAAAAATAGCTGCAAAACAGAGATAGCTAGAGACGGGCAAGAGATCTGGTCACAGATACTAAACCTTAATCCCACCTAGACAAGCCAGAAAAAGCCACAGTCCCCAGCCTCTTTAGAAAGTAAAGTGGCGTGAGCACAGTGGGTGCTTCTGAGGAAGCACTCACACAAACAGCAGAGCCCACTGCATCCCAGCAACTTTCACAAGGTTGACACATCGACCTCTTTCCAACATTGCTGCAGACCTTTCACAGGGCTTTGGCCTCACCTATAAATATCTCGGCAGATTGACAGTGAGACATGCTGTTTCCTCTGCAAGATAATTGGTTAGAAAACAAACAAACCAACTCAGCCAAAGCACACAGGTAGGTCCTAGGCAACGCATGCAGCTGCTTTACTTAATAAAAGGGCTAACAGAAGGGTAAAATAGACCTGGGGAGAAAGAAAAAAAAAAAAAGTTTCTGTCCCACGAGAACCTAAGATTTCAAGGAAAAACAGGACACTAGCGTGCTGTGGTTCCTCCACAGCATGAAAGATGGTCCTATACAGCTCTCCTAGGTAGCTGCCCATCTCCCCTCTCGCCTTTGATAAGCCAGAATTCATCTTGGACATGAGAACCCTGCCAACAGGAGTTGCAAAAATACAGCCCTTTTCCAAAGGGCTTTTGTTTCGGTACAGATGCATTTTCCAAGCACAGGCATTTTTGCTGGAAAACTTACTAGCTCTACTGAACTCTACTCTGTACGATATGTATTCTGCCCCTTGCAAGCATTCTTTAGAAGGTATCTTTTTTGGCAATCTTTGTTCCAGTAACATACACTGCAGCCCCATTTACAATACCTCAATGGCTGGAGATAAGGGCAGGAAATGCCTCTTGGCATTCCACACGCGACGCTCCCACCCAGCTCCCTTTCCAGGCACTTTTACCATTGTTTGCTGAAAGATGAACAAATATTTTCCAAAATACACCTGAAGTAGAAACAAGGGCCTAATTCTGCATGCTTACTAAAGCAAATAAATCTAACTTCAGTGCTTCCCTATTTACCCAAGAAAAGCAATAAGCTTTCTTCATGGAATTACAACCACACCTTGGAAAGCACCGCAGGACACCATGAATCACAAGGGAAGGGGGAGAACAGTGGTTTGCTCTGTTTGTCCACGTTTTATCCTTCCTGTATGCATCTTGTTCTCTAGCAGCAAAATCAGGGAGAGACAAGAGGCCTGCAGAGGGGAATGAAATGGAGGAGGGGAGTTCCACAAACACAGACACTTTCTGCTCCCAGACACATCAGGCCATTCTTGACCACCTGAGAACCAGTATATCCTCAAAACAACCGATAAACAAAGGTCCAAAGGAGCAGAGAGGTCTCTCTGAAGGGAATACATGTCAACTTCTCCCTCACTTGGATACAACTGTCCTAGCACGCTCCGTACACCCCAGAGCCTCATGAAGACTTTGGCTCCATCACACCAGCTGCTTGTTTTTGGATGACCTAGTTTCTTCACTGTACCAAAAAACGGCACATCAACTTGTCATTGCACAAACTGGTCACACTAATTATAGCACAGTTACAGGTCTAAGCATTTGTTTACCTGTAAAGCAACACAGAAGTTGGCTGTGTGGGAGTGTGTGGTTTGCAAGGCACTGCATTTTGGTTTCTGTTCTATTTAAAGAAAAAAAAAAAAAGGTGCTGTTCCTCATGTTCAATTCAGTTCAGTTTCCATGAACTCAGCAGTTCTGTTTCGAGAGGTGCAGAGCACATCCTGTGAGCCACACTAAAACACAGCAGTGCGATGGGGACAATAATGGCTCCATTTCAGGGGCCAAAAGGAAGGAGAGACACTCGCTATTGTATTGCACTCGTGTGAGCACCGTTTTCACAATGTTCCAGCAGAAAAAGGTCCACTCCAACGGTGTCAAAGATCAGTCCCTATAAAGGGCATGCAAATGTTGGCAAACAATCATTTTTAAAGAAAAAAGAAAAAAGTTGCATTTCCTGTACACTTTATCGCACGTTAATACAAGATTTGCCTCACCAAGTTCAAAAGAACTATTTTGGGGCACTGGTTACTCACTTGCATTACAAGAAGAGACCCTGATTCTGTGAAATGACAATTTACTGAATCACTGGAGGGAACAACTTCACTAAACTGTGCGCCATACCAGCAGCTCTGCCTGCTGGTGCCAGCACTAGCAGAGTCCTCGGACTCATACACACTTTTTCCCATTACACAATTTAGAAGCTGGTTCTTACATCCCCCAGAGAGGAAAACCAGCTGTGTTCATTTTCCTGTTCCAGTGAGCGCTCAGAGCCTCTCTAGTCCTTCACACAAAACACTCAGCTTGCAGACGTTTTGCTCTAACATTGCTGAGGATAGATTTGGATCCATTAAAACAGCCATGCTGGCAAGCAATGATGGAAAGCCTCCTCATCTCAGTCTTGAGCATCCCAGTCTTGTTCAATGTATTCATCAATGACCTGGAGGAAGGGACAGAGTGCACCCTCAGCAAGTTTGCTGAGGATACTACACTGGGGGGAGTGGCTGACACACCAGATGGCTGTGCTGCCATTCAACGGACCTGGACAGGCTGGAGAGCTGGGCGGAGAGGAACCTCCTGAGGTTCAACAAAGGCAAGTGCAGAGTCCTGCACCTAGGCAGGAATAATCCCATGCACCAGCACAGGCTGGGGGCTGACCTGCTGGAAAGCAGCTCTGCAGAGAAGGACCTGGGAGTCCTAGTGGACAACAAGTTAAACATGAGCCAGCAGTGTGCCCTGGTGGCCAAGAAGGCCAATGGTCTCCTGGGGTGCATTAGGCAGAGTGTTGCCAGCAGGTCGAGGGAGGTGATCCTCCCCCTCTGCTCAGCCCTGGGGAGGCCTCCCCTGGAGTACTGTGTCCAGTTCTGGGCTGCCCAGTACAAGAGAGACATGGTGCTACTGGAGAGAGTCCAACGGAGGGCGACAAAGATGATGAGTGGAGAGGATGAGGCCAGTCTCTTCTCCGTGGTGCCCAGAGACAGGACAAGAAGCAATGGGCATAAACGGAAACCCAGGAAGTTCCATATGAACATGAGGAAAAACTCCTTTCCTGTGAGGGTGACAGAGCACTGGCACAGGTTGCCCAGAGAGGTAGTGGAGCCTCCTTCCCTGGAGATATTCAAAACTCACCTGGATGCAATCCTGGGCAATATGCTCTAGAGGACCCTGCTTGAGCAGGAGGGTTGGACTAGATGATCTCCAGAGGTTCCTTCCAACCTCAACCATTCTGTGATTCCGTGATCTCCCTGTCAGGCAGTGAAGCAACAACTAAGATCCCAAAATACTTCATCACATCTCTTCAAGGCACTACTTAAAGCATAGTAGGATACCAAAGCAGAACAGACACTTGCAAGCGTCCTTCATTTAAGTGTCATCAACTGCCGTTTCTTTATTCCACTTACAACAACCACCACCACACAAACAAAAACTCTGACAGAGCAAACCTTGAACAGGACACC